CTCACTCCTCGATTACAGAGCAATTATCCAGTTGCGTTCCAAAAAAAATTTAAATTTAGTTAACAATATTAATATACAACAAAAAAAAATCTTTGTCTCTCTATTTTTAGCTATTCTCTCGTACACTGTAACAATTTATAATAGTAGCCGTTTTTCGCAAGCAACTGATGATGTGTTCCACTGTCGACAATATGTCCATGTTGAAGAACGCATATGAAATCAGCGTCTTGTATAGTTGATAGGCGATGTGCCACAACGATCGAAGTGCGTCCAATAACCACACGAGCCAATGCTTCATTCACAATCTATATCAGTTCGACAAATATCTATCTGAATTCTACAAATATCTCTTGCCTTTTCATTTTCACTGTCGAGCGCCAATTTTGCTTCGTCGAGGAAAATCATTTTAGGATTTTGAATCAAAATTCGACAGATCGCTATGCGTTGGTTTTGACCGCCCGATGGCTGTTGACATTTGGAGCTGACACACGTTTCATACCCCTATTTCTCAAATGATACATGGATATTTATTTGGCTGAAATGAGCAAAAAAATCAGTGAGTGCCAGAGGCAGTTTCTGAATAAAGTCATGAATACTGGCATTCTTAGCCGCTTCAATCATCTCTTCCTTTGTCATGTTTCGAGATAAATCGCCATAAGCCAAATTTTCTGCAATAGAAACGTTGAATAAAATTGGTTTTGTGAAACATGATTGTTAATAAATGTTGAAATATAGAGCGAAAAAAGTGAACTACTTCAAGGCCCGTCTCAGACACCATGACAGACATTACGGCATGGCGCTACTTTGATGCAGTCATGAATCATGATCAATATGGTCTTCGCATACGATAAAAACAGCTCCATCGCGTTTTATATTTGAATCCTGTGGGGATTGCGTTGAATACTTACTGCCAAGAACTTTTTCGCAACTGTTCGTGACCGTTGTCGTGACCAAAACACCGTCGTCACGCTGGGCTGAAGTATGGCATTTCTCACACTCCACTCTCATCTGCACCCTCTAGTGCAGTGCTCCTGCTTCGTCTTGATCATATAGAGCGAATTAAAGAGGCCCAGCTTGACTTCGAGCAACTGCTCGATCTGGGCCATATCTTCAGCGGATGTCTCGTCAAGAGTGAAACCACTCGACATGTCATTGAAGAATTACTCGTCGAATGACAACCATTCGGACTCACTCACAGGTTTGGGTCCCGAACCATGCTGTAAACCACTCTTCTGATCAATGTTCTTATCGAAGACAGCTCGGCGAAGAAGAGCAAGGGTCATATTGCTGTTTTTCTCTCGAGAATCAAACTCGATCGATCGACAGTTTCGTGTAAAAAGGAAAAGCCTACTTACGTTATAGTTTAACTTATTTCAATCAAAGATGATTTGAGAACGTCGAAAAGTTTAGAAGTGAGAACATGGGTTACCTTTTATTGCAAATTTCATTACATCACATTCACTCCCCATAGGAACTTTACGAATAAGAAGCCATGTCTCATTATATTTACCATTTCTAAGTAGTTATTCAATAGTTCTAGTCAAGGACTTTCCTCGTGATTAATTCTCTTTATCACAAACCCCGACACTATGCGAAAGTAGGTTTGTCGATTTTAATTCTATTTGCCAACGAGTATAGTTTGTATTTTTGGGTGTGGGTGTGGATGCTGACGTGAATACCTACAGTCACACCCACACCCACCCACATCACCCGCACCCCACCCACACCCACATCCACATCCACCCACACCCCATCCCACCCACACCCACACCCACACCCAAAAACCTAGATTAGAAGAGCCATAAAACTGATCCTGTGTGTCCAAGAAAACTCGAAAATCCAATATATATTTATATTGCAGCGGCGACGACGGCGACTGGAATTTCTAGAAATCATTGATGGCAGCGGCGGTTAAGATTCTCCCCACAAAATCAATGACAAGAGCGGCTCAGCCGAACGGCTTCTACGTCTACCCACATCCTCATATCCTGCCAAACGCCCTTCTATTTCCGGTTCTGTATGTTGTGCGACGGTCATTATCGAGAAATTTTGAGTTCGCGTAATTTCTCGAACGAGTTATCATGAATTTTTGACCTTCTAGCCATGCTTAAAACACACCCGAATTGGCTTTAGATAGTGACAAACCCTGTGAAAAAATATTATTTAAACTTTCTTTTCTTTATTAACTTATAAGTGAAAATTGTAAATCACAAGAAACTAGACGAGCAAATAAAACAAAAGATAGACTAGAAAATAGTTTCTGTATTATCTTCGTGATATTTGTGGCAATGTTTTCTCTTTCCATGGAGGTGGTGGTTTTGCATTATGACTGTTGTTCACTTTGGATATGTATAGTGACTTCCATCTTTCTTTATATTTCCTGCTCTGTCAGCTGGATGAAAATGAGGTAATTGTCCCGGTTCATGTGCAGTATGATGAACTGGTTGATTGCCACCACTCGCATTTTGTGCATTGTCTTTTGCTTTAGCCCGACTTGGAGAATGATGAAAATGTTGACCAGGTTTGCCGCTAGGGGATTTGCCTCGTGATTGCCGATCCTTGCCTTGATATCCGCTTCCTTCAGACATTGTTTAAATACTGTTCCTCTTAATTTATTTCTCAAAACTATCACGATAATGTTTCTCGGCTGTAGACGACTTCTTTAGCCAAAACAAAGTAAAAGATTTGAACTAGAACAACTGCAAAGCAACAACGTATATAGTCTATACAAGCACATTTTCTCTTTCTTTTTATCTGTGTATATGATAGCGTTGTGAAAACAAGAGTATGATATGAATAATTCTGTCAGACTATCATTTGTACAGATAAAAAGAGAGAGAAAATATGCTTTGTGAAATAACACTACTGCGAAGACCATTTTTGTGCGCTGCTCCGATATACTATTTTTCTCCAAGCTTGAGTCGTTATCTTGCATAGGAAGGGAGAAAAATGAAGTAGAATTTCTCACCAGAAAGACAAAAGAATGAAAGAAAGTAGGTAGTAATATTGGATCATGATAGTGTTACATGGCTTACCTTTGCTTTCATTCTTTGTCTTTTTAGTGGGAAATTTTGATTCATGTTTCTCTCTTCCTAGGTAAGATAACGTCACAAATTTGAAAAAAAAAGTGGATAAGAGCAGCGCACAAAAATGTTCTTCACAGTAGTATTATTTCACAAAGCACATTTTCTGTCTCTTTTTATCTGTGCAAATGATAGTCTGGGAGAATGATTCACTTCATACTCTTGTTTGCACTACGGTATCATATACACAGATAACAAGAAAGAGTAAATGTGCGTGTATGGTAGAGAAACATCAGCGTGATAATTTTGAAAAATCACAAACAAATGGAGAATTCTTGTCGCAGGGTTCTTCTGGCTGATTATCGTATTTGCCGCCTTCACTGGCTCAAATTTTGGTTTCACAAGACATCGTTAGATATCGGGGTTCAAAGTGGAACCAATATGGTTCCGAAGAATAGCGGCGATGCTAATAACGGAATGACAGAGACTAACGAAACATCATTGGTAGAAAATAGACTGAAAATTCTCCTTCTACTGCCTGACATTATCATCGCATTCAGTCTGTCGCTTGCACTCGCCATTATGATCGGACAAATATCCCAAAACAAAACAGAAATGCTAATCCAACTGTATTCTATTCGTATACAGATGTAGGAGAAACGAGAAAAAAAGTTATTTATTTTTGTTGTTTTGTATGTATTTATGTCAACATGACTCAGAGCTACGGAGCTCAGCATGAAAAGATCCCATGTATAGATTACTTTCGAGTCTAACGTTCTCAATTGAACAAAATTTGTTGTGCAAGGATGATGATCTTTATCATCAGAGTATATGGATTCCGTAGCTATGTTCAGAGTGCACAGTGTAATATGATAATCAGCAAGTCTGTAAGATCTTTTTCGAAATCGAACGATCTCAACGGAGTTTAACGTGCTTTTTTCAAAGATCTTAACTTAATTCTTCGAAAGTAGAGAAAAGAAAAGGCACTTTGTGTTCTTATCTTTGTTTTACCAAATAGAAAGTGTTGTCATCCGATGACGACGGTAACGGTGTGGGTGTGGTCATCACTCATCTTTGACAGAAACCTACAACCACAGTCACACCCGTCAACACCCACAACCCACGCCCACCCACATCCACGCCCACGCCCATCTATACTCACCCACACCCCAAATGAAATGTTTAGAAGTATTCTGGAGTCAAGTATAAAAAATTCGTAAAATATCACAACGTGTTGCAGTATCCAGATTTTCCTATGACATCTCGGTATCAGAGTATGCTCAAATTCACTAGGGTATGTTATTGATGCTTATTTTATAAGCATATGAATTATCTCAGTTAAAGTTCTCATCTATATCAAAAAAGATCACTTTCTATTGAAATCCTCTTGGACGCAATCATGTAGGTATTCCGTTTCGTTTTTTGCAAGTCGAACATGAATTTGGTATCGGCTTTCTGCTACAGTGTCTGACTTTCGAGATATAAACAAAAAGAAGCTGATTTTATATGGATATTATTGCCTTTCATACTCACACATCATTCTTGCTTCGTTTTGTTGTATAATGATGAATTAAGTGAACGATGATCTGAAAGAAGTGATGAAATGCTTAGGGCAGAAATGTTGCCCCCCCCCCCCACAGACCGTTACAGATTGAGTCCGAAGGTCGCTAGATATTAGGGCATTTCTTTGGATTCATGATTAGCTATTACGTATCGCGAGAATCTTATGAGATCATATCAACTGCGTCCTTATTCTCGTTCTGCAGGACTAAGTAAAAACTGTTAAATAAATGGATTCGAATGTCTAGTAAAGAAAACAATATTCGCATGATTAGTAACCACAGCTATCGTGATTCACATTTTAATTCCGCAGAGATTGCGCTAACAGCTTCTTTTTACGACTAACGCTTTTCAACCGAACAAAACTTTGTATAGCGAGAACAACGAGACATTATTTACGCAACATTCACGCAAAAATATACAACTTTATCTCCATCCGTTCAACTACATAATATCAAGCCATAGTTGGCGGTACCTAATGAAGGAACAATGCTACTAATTGATAGTTCTAAAATACAGCATGTGTTAATTAATAATAATGAATCGTATCGTTTTTGTATTGTTGTCAAAGTTTTAAATTTGTAAATATTTCGATATGTATTTTTTCCATGTAATCAACGATACCTTAATATCCATCGCTAAATATGAAACATAATGATCCACAAGGATTTATAAGTGAAGCTGCTTCTAGAAATAATAACGGAACAACTTTTGGGGATGGTTTTCCTCTTCAACAGAGAACCAATTTTACTATAATTAACCATCCTGTAAGAGTGAGTCTTAGCGACATTAATTTCATCAGATGATCTGGACTAAGAACCTACCAATTAAAAGACAATTCAACTAGATTTCACTCAGACAATGGTTGAGATATATGTTGACAAAGGCTTATCACCAGGAGAAATCCCAATCTTATTTAAGATTTGAGAATGCTTCAAAAGCATGTTTGAATTTCCATAGCCGTCTGGCAATTAGATTCAAGATTGTGAACAGAATGATTATTGTACGTAAGACAATAAAACCACCAGATATGCCGGATAACATATAACGAAGAATTCATCTATAAATATCGAACTGGCACAGAGTTTGAGTCTGCACACAAAATGGCAACTCGCTTTTTGCTGTACAAATGTAGGAAAATATGTGAAGAAAGTCCATTCAATCGTCTTCAAGAAGTTTTGGCCTCAATTTTTCTATAGTAGATTGTCGTAAATATGCAGGAAAAAGTCACGAGAAATGTCATCGTGACAGTATGACACAATAATGGTACTATGTTGTAAAGGTTTGGAGATCATCGTTAAAATTGAATAAAATGAGTATGTGCAAGAGTGAGTGAAAGGAATCATACTATCAATGAATGAGGATAAGAATACTAAATTCTTTTGAAATTGCATTAAAAGAGTAGGGACAGTTGTACTCTCTAAAAAAAACAGTATTCTCGGAAACCAAGGGAGAAAGGTTTCCGAGTGTTCGGAAACCCATTTCTTGCCCTCGAGAACCCTTTTATCGGTTTCGAAAGCTCGGAAACCCATTTTTTTACCCTCGGAAACCCTTAAAACGTTTCCGATAGTAACAAACTCGTAAA